CTCAGTCTCTTAACAGGTGCATATAATCCATTTACATTTAGTGTAATTATTGATATGTATTGATTAATTGCTGCCATTATATTTGGGGGTTTTTTTTGGTGTTGCTACTTCTTTGTTCTGTTTGTCTTCCTTTGTTGAGTTCATGGTTTTTGTGTTCTTTCTTGTGAGTTTTCCTCATAGTTTTAATGTTTTCATATTCTTCTTGGATTTTCATTCTCTTGGTATGTTGTGAAGTGTTAATTATCTTTGAGGTTGCCTCATAGACTATTAACTTTTCTGTCCATTTAGTTCAGTCTATTTTATCCTGTAATTGAGCTGACCTACTCACTATCTGGATGACTGTTCCTATGTGTTTACCTTCTTTTACATTGTTCTTGTTTTGATCATAGACTGACCTCCCAGATTCTCTGAGTTTGTTCTTATAGTTTTGTTTTGTTAACAACTCTTCTTTCTGTTGACTTAATTCAGGGATGTATGCCAATCTCTGGTTGTTGCCTGTTCTTGTTGGTTCTCAGTCCACAGAACTCCCTTTAGGATGTTTTGTAGCGCAGGGTTGGCTTTGGTAAAATCCCTTAGCTTCTGTTTATCCTGGAATGTTTTGATTACGCCATATTTGATTGATAACTTTGCTGGATAAAGGATTCTTGGTTGGCTGTTTTTTCTTTCAGGGTTTTATATATGTCTCCCCATTGCATTCTTGCTTGCGTGGTTCCTGCTGAGAGATCCGAGCTTAATCTGACTTGCTTGCCTTTGTATGTGACACTTCTGTTTTCTCTGGCCGCTTTCAGAAGTGTGTCTCCTTATGTCTGAATTTGGAAAGCTTGACTATGATGTATCTTGGTGATTTTCTTTTGGGGTCTACCCTTCCTGGAATTCCTTGAGCTTCTTGAATGTTTATCTTTTTGCTTTTCAGGATGTTAGAGAAATTTTCTTCCAGCAGTTCTTCTTCTATTTCCTCTGTGGACTTGTGTGATTCTTCTTGTTCTGGGATGCTGATGATTCTTAAGTTATTCCTTTTCATGTTGTCCAACATGAATCTTAGACCTTTCTCAGATTATCCTTTTTGTGTTTGTTCTTCTGTCTTAGTGGTGTTGAGAGATTTATCTTCCAGATCACTGATTCTGCCTTCTATCTCATCTATTCTACTCCTCTGCCCTTTCAGAGTGCTATTTCTGTTACTTTGTTATTGATGATTTGGACCTCTTTCTGTAGGTTTTGAATTGTTTCCAATGCTGTATCTATCTTATTTGATTGTTCCTGTAGCACCTTCCTGACTTCTTTATTTTTATCAACTCCATTGTAAGTGTTTTGAAACATTTTATAATCATTTTTCTGAGTTCTTTCTCAGGCATTTCCAAGGCCTGCCCTCCTTCTAGAATGGAGTCCAGGTCTACTTCTAGGTCATTTGTCTCAGACATTTTATCTTTTTTTGGACATGAGCTGATATGGTCATCTGCTTTTGCTTCTTGGACATGTTGAATGTTTATCTGCGGCCTTAATACTGAATTGAGTATATGTTTTGGTAGTTTTTTTATGCTTTCTTATTGCTTCCAGGAAGATGTGATCAGGATATGGCTTCCCTTTTCACTCTTCTTATAGCTTAACGCAGAACAACTTTCACAGGTGTTGTCTGTTTAACTGGTATTGGTTGTTGCCTGTGTTTTGGTGTTTTATAGAGTGTGGTTGCTTGGCTATATGGCAGCGGTTGCTGACTCTTCTTGTGTAATATAGGGAGACAAAAGAGTCCTCCAAAGGCCGAAGGGGGGCTATATAACAGCAAAACAACACCAGTTGGGTAAAAAAAAAAAAAGAAAAAGAAAAAACAGCATCAGTAAAAACAAGACTGAATATTGCAGTCTCTAATCAAAGAAAAGGGAGGGGAGGGACAGAAGAAAAACAGGGGCAAAAAAAATCTGTAGCTTAATATAAGTATGTCTTTAATGTCCTAAGTTACTGCTTTCAAAGCTGCCAGAGAGATTTTGCTTTTAAACTCTCTTTCCTTCCCTTTAGCCTCCTCCTGTTTCCCGTGATAAAAAAACAGAAAAAAAAGGGAACAGATCAGCGCCTCCACTTTGGCTGAGTATCTGTGCG